CGTAATAACCTCATATTATTATTACGTCACTATGTTTCCTATTCATCTGTAACAATGTTTGTTTAAAATTAGCAGGTGTGTCGAGTCGAATATTATATAGTAGTCAATGGTAATTCTTACTAGATAGAAAGCTCTCTTCTTTTTGAAATTACTAGAACTGCGTGCCACAGAAATCGAAAAAATGCATCATCCTGGTGAATCCTCGTTTATCCCGCAATGCGAGCATTATCAGACACTATCTTCCATGGTATCCCAAATATAGTCCCAAGTTTTTTTTATGTATTCTCCACTACAATGAAATGAATACGAGGATTTGTTTTAACATTACCACATATACACTTTCACCCGAATACATAACTGCGAATCTAAGTATGGATATGATTTTGAATCCGAACAAGGTGCCGTATATTTAGTAACAACAACATTGAACAGCTGTCTTTGCCGGTAACGACTGTAGTTAGTTATCCGCCACGGGTAGGGTATTAAATTAGGCATATGTCAAATCTTTACTTCAAAGAAGAGTATGTGACTAATGTGTTAATAATAATAATAATTCACGAAAATACTCACTGACACCTAACTTCCAGGAATCTCCAGTTCATTTCGACACATTGTGCAATCACACGCATATGAGTAAGTTCAGTCTGAGCTCACGGCGTTGTAAAATTGAGTTATATGTGAATTCGATCATCGGCTTTGCGCTCATTACACTTGCATTGCTCTAACACGCCAAAACTGGTTATATTTCAGTTAAAAGTTAAAATTTTCGTTAAAAGTTTTCGTTAAAAGTACACGATGTTGAAAAAAGAAGAACTTGTAGCAGAGATGCTGGGACAAGTGGACTCAAAATACAGAGACGAAGACATGGAAAAGTCAATAAAATGCTGTGTTGGATTGGAAGGCACTGGACTTGTTTTGAGTGACACCGAGGAGCAAGAACAGGCGGAAAGGTTGTTTTAATCAACTTATTGAATATGAAAATTTGCTATCATTTGTTTTGACCGATTTTTATACATGTACTGTGCATCTCGTGAAAGTATGAAAGTGTTTTTATAAAACATTTCCCCTTTAAAAAAATTCTCACTTTTCACTTTAAAGCCATTGATTGAATCACTGCCATATCGCCGAAACTGTAAAACGTGGTGATAGGTTTAGTGGTTTTCAATTTTCAATTGTATTTTATAAATACAGATGTAAATATAAACATATTCATGCCTTCATGAAATGCGTAGTACACTTATCATTTATGCACTCACAGGAGGCCTTGGCGATGATGATGACAGAGATAGAGGGGATAATTTGTGATTTTGTTTTATGGACATTTAAAAATATTTATTAAACATTTATCCCAAAAGATCGTAATACTTCATTCAAATCCAAAGAAGGGTTTTTCAATCATTGGTCGATTTACTGCCATGAACGCAAAAAATAGATCCCATCAAATACATTATATAATGGATAATTTGTAAATTTGTTTTATGGACATTCAGAAATATTTATTAAACATTTATCCCAAAAGATCTTAACACTTCATTCAAATCTATCTATCTACCACTGTATCTGCTTCATACATATATATTCACTTGTTTTTTTTGTGATAGGTTTTTAACATGGGCAAGAGGGATGAGTCTTTTGAAGGTGATCACAGCAGAGGTACAGCCAGGAATACTGACAAGTGGTAAAGCTGAGTTAATAGATATAAAGGTGAACGCCAGGTACGGTCCTGATGATAAGATTTATGAACGCAATCAAGCATTCCGAAAAAAGGTGATGTTGCATGTATTTTTATTTGGGGTAATAATTTGATGAAATAAGTCATTGTCTGATCTTTTAAACTATTTATTTACTTTATAATTCATAATAATCATCACAATTTGTTGTCATATATTGAAAACAGAAATGCCATTGAAGTTTATTCTGCCAAAAAGAAAGGTATGAGTTTGATCTGAAAACAAATTATCCTGCATTTTTTTTTTTAATTTTTGTGAAATTATTAGTCAATCTATACATACAGGGAAAATACTACAGAGAAAGTAAAAAACAAAAGAACCAGTTCAATGTAAATTTTGATATCTCATCGTCAGCCGTCTGTACACAGCTATACATGTATATAACATTTTCTTTGTATCAATTTTGGTTGTAGATATGCTAGTCCCCACTAAGACATCATCATCTATTCTAGAAAAGCATCTTTCATCACCTGGCTGTACAATAGAGTATCATTTCATACTATCCAGTACATTCATTTCCATCCAGTGTCATCCACACTATAATAGTTATCCTATATACCTTGTTTCAATTCAGGTTGCCAGGGGTAACAGTTTTCTTCACATCACCAGTGGTCCACACACATCATTATTTTGTATCATTTATGCCCTGAAAAAATTCACAGGAGGCCTTGGTGATGATGATGACAGAGATAGAGGGGATAATTTCACCTGGAAAAAATATTTCACAAAAGTAAGTAATTTATTTGTTGTCTGAAAACGACACCTTGTACACTGTTAAGTTTCTGTGATTTAAAGATTTAAATATTTGTGAGAAGGAAAGTCACAGTGACATCTTCAACAGTTCAGTGCTGCAAAGTTTTGGGTTTTTTTCTGGAATTGCAAAGTGAAAGTGGTGTATGGAAAAGGAACTGTAACTGATTTATAGTGAAAGTTAACTACATTGTAGTTAACATATTAGGTTTATGGTCAATGTAGGTATTTGATTAATTTGGGTTTCTACATTGTATATACCTCCACACACTCACTATCTTGTTGATTTCACATCCAGTGTGAAATAAGCTTTCCATCAATATATAGCTTTGTATGGTTTAGTAAATATTTTATATGGAAACATTAGCTTAGAAAATCAATACCAAGACGTATACAGCATTCTTAATACAGGTTTCTGGTTAATGCTGGTTCCTGGTTGAAACAGGTTTTTCTTGAAACTGGTTTCTGGTTGTCACAGATTTCTGTTACTGGTTTTTGATTGATACATAATTCTTGGTAATGCAGGTTTCTGGTTAATGAAGATTTCCGGATAATACAGGTTTTTGGTAATTCAGGGTTCCAGTTAATGCAGATTTCCGGTTAATGCAGTCTCCTGGTTACTGTTTTTTAGGTAATGCAGCATTCTGGTTAAGGAACTTTTAAGAATAATACAGGATTCTTGTAATTTATATTTCTAGTTAATGCTGGTTTGGATATTTAATACAGATTCCTTCATTTCAAAGGTACCTGGTTAATATAATACTCCAGTTTTCTGATGATTCCAAAAATTAATTTTAATCTATTTTGAAATTATTAAAAATACTAAAAAATGTTCAAAATTGTTTTTACTACTCTCATAGCCGATGGATGAGGCTGTGGAGATTGTCGCAACAAAGAAAGCCAATGGAGAAGCCGCCCATTTCAGTGTACGAAGAATAGGAGATAGAACAGTTATGTGCGGTGGTTCAAAAAATGTTCACATGCTTTTCAGATCTAAAGGTAAGGTTTACGCACATGTTACCTGTGTTCAATGCAACACCATCAATATAACTTTGTATATTTATGTTTTATGTCCCATCTATCCACTGAATATGTGGCAAACAACTGACACGAAAAGAAAAAAATTAGACAAAACCCTTTGGACAAACAATTTGGTATCAATATAGCTTGGAACAATCATTGTTGGTGGCTTGCAATGAGAATGAGGTACTTCACCCTTTTCACCTCAAGTTCCTTATTTTCATCACAAATTAAAAAAATAGTCCTGTATATAGTCTGCACTTTCCTTCATTAGATTGAGACATAAAATTTAAGTAAAAACTGAAAATTTGCTCTAAAATTAGGGCTTATTTTCAGAAATTTTGAAGAATAATAAGAAAATAGTGCAGACAAATTTTGGTGAGTAAGTCTGGTGGTGAAAAGGTCAACTGATTACAAACCACTGGCATCATTACCATATTATATTCTAATCAGTGTGTCCAATTTACTGTTAAATCATGCAGTTGGTTTGTTTGTAATGATCATCACATGCTGCGGTGCGTTGTAATAAATATAAATAAACTCGTATACTTATTATATTATATCAGGTGACATTGAGAAATACAGTGATAGCAGATACCAAGTAGCCAGAGATGTATGTTTAGCAATATGGAATATGTTACAAAAAATGACAGAAGATTGTAGAAAAAGGTATGATTAACTTGTAATTAAGTTGTGTTCAGATTTAAGATTATATGTAATATTTTTCATATTTTCATTATTATAGTTTCTTGCTATTAGCATACAAAATTCGGAAAAAATTGGTGCCGGTATATTATTTTTTTTTTTGTATTCATAAACTTTTATTGAAGTTTGTATTTTTCAAAACATTTCCCCATTTCTTATTATGAGAAGTCAACCTATTCTGTCAAACAGCAATGAAGTACAAAGAAATATTTTACATATCTTTTGTATGCCATGAACTTTGGCTTTTGGTAGTTATGTCTATACGAGTAAATATAACTTTTTTTTACCAGAAAGGGTGTACTAGTATTATTGTTTGCAATGCTCTGAATACATACTAAATACTGTGTCTATTTCTTTATTTTTTAATTATCACTTGTTCATATTATGTACTGTCATCTTTTGTAGGTTATTCAGTTTTCTTTGTCATAGTCATTTCACTGCAGTATTTGAACTTTTACGTCCAACATGTCAACATGTGGAAGATCTGTCATATCTTAAAGAGTAAGTATAGGCATGTAATTGTCTTTCTGTTTGTCTGTTTGTTTGTTAGTTAGTTATACACTGGAGCAACAAACCTGTGTTTATTGCAGGGGCTATGTACATGTAGGTAGTGACTTAACTTGGATGAAATTTAGTTTTTGAATCCCTTCAAATTGCAAAAATTAAATGATTTGCATTATCCAGTGTTCATTTAATGATATATTTATACATTAACAGTATTTGCTCTATTAGAAGCACATCCCCAAAAATTGCATTTTTTGTATGCTACATTATTAAAATATGATTATTTTTTACCACTGATGCATTTCTGTAATTCATATAGAGCAAATATGGTATTTATGTACACATGTATTATTTTATTCAGTAATTAGAATGTTTATAATTGGTCAATTTTAATTAATTAATTAATTAATTAATTGTTTATTATTAATTTGTGCAACCTGTACTACATTTAACTAAATTTTCTGTTATTTCCTACTAGGTCTGAATTAAAGTTTATAACATGGACAACATCAGTGTTAGAACCTGACGAGGATTGTGATACTCAGCTTTGTACTGTCAATCCACATATTGCTATACAGGTATCTGTACACTAAATGAAATGGCCACCAAACGGCCAACACATGTTTGAATTCTGCATTTAATGAAGTGTATACTTTGTATTGACTCATATGTATCATGTGGTATATGGCTATGGTCGTTTTGCCTTTTCATTGCATCAAATAAAATATTTGCTCTATTAGAGGCTCTTTATCAATATATGTGACTCAAATTTGTTTTGTTTGAGTTCTAAGTACTCATTCAGTCAGTTATGCTGCCTTTTTTTTAACAAAATTCTTCTTCTTGCAAGCATTGTTATAGGGCAAATAGTGTAATTTATTTCACATTTCACTTTCAAAATAAATCCGCAATGTAATTCAATTTTAAACCTGCAACAAGACGATTAAATCTTGCAACTTGTATGAAAACAAAAGACTAACTTGTATAAAAACAAAAGAGTTGCAGACCTGCTGTTGAGGGCGATGTCAGTTTTTTTTCTAAGTTGTGATATTGAATACTCTCTTGTGATTTGTGAACCTCACTGCTGTTCATACAGGTATTCAGATAAGTAAATAAATAAACATGTGCTTTGAATTTACAGATTGCTCGAGCGCTAGGATTACCCACGGTCGATTATGAAATCATAGAAAGTAGCAGAGTTGATGAGCGAATGCAGGCTGTGAGGAGAGGGTATCAATATGAGGGAGAAGTATTCTATTTCATAGACTCTAACAAAACTGTCATTGGGTTACTAAAAAAGAAAACAATTTGGTGAGTGACCTTTGACCAAGTTGTCTATACATTCACTGATTGGTTACTATGATCATGTGATTTATGAATGTTATTTCATTAATATAGGTACATCATTGTAAGAGCAGTCAGAGAGAAAATTCGCTCGGCTTGTAATTCTTATGATAAAGGTGTTAATTTCAATATTAGTCAACACACAAGAAAAATCAATTCTCGATTAAATGAGATACAGCAATGGTTAGGACTAGACGATGATTCAACAGAAAATTGGAAGGTAGACATGTTTTCCTTTCTCTTCCTTTTTTGGAAGGTTATAGATATGGTACTGTAAAAGGATTAATTATTCACTGAGTTTTAATTTTGCTTTATTTTCGCTGACTGGAAAATGCACTAAATTAAAACCCAGTGAATATGTAAATTTTAGCATAGAACACATTATCTAAATGATAAAACCGTGAATTTAAAACCCACTGAATATGCCTGAAATGCTAAATCAGTGAAATTTAAACCCAGTGAAAATTAGTCATTTTACAGTAGTGCATATGTTTTTATCACTGTTCAATGCAGTTTGCTGCTTCTATATGAAACAATATTTTTTTTTAGCTTTGTTGCTTTTTTTTGTTTTTGATGTATATTAACTAGATTGATGTGTCTATTGCAATGGGAACATTGACCTTCACAGAGAATCTGTATATAAGCTCACAACACTTACATGAACTGTGGTTTGGATCAGTGTTTAAATCTGTTGTGTTTGTCAATGAATGAAATAGAATATCTTGAAAGATCTAACAATATTTCCCCCACAGTGTTTAGGTACTGGTTTTCTTGAGTGGACAATTGAGAGAATGAAAAGTGGAAAATTAAAAAAAGATGATGTTGCAAATATTTTTCCTGTGGTTTGGTAAGTTTTAAAGATTTAGGAAGTGTTATAAATCAATGTATCACATGTATCATGCAGTATCAGTGAGTAGCCATGCCATATACTATTTAGCGGTTATTCACCGTGAATACAAGACATAACCTGTGGTCTTTGAGAATCACTGTTAATATTATCTTGTTGAGAGAGTACTGGCCGGGGGGGGGGGGGGGGGGCACACTTGATGATTTGAAATACTTGATGTAGGGAATAACATCTAAAATAATATTTGCAAAGCTTGCATGTAATTTTGAATATTTAGCCAAATAGAATATACAATTTGAGAGAGGAATCCTGCAAAAGATTTGACATGTTGAGAATTTATTTTTGTTTGATAATGATCTTGAACATTCCTACAAAGTTACTGGCATTTGCTAATTGCATATCCTTATTTTATAAATCCTTGACATGACATGACATTTTTTTCCAAACTAGGAAAAGATTTTTATCGGAAACTGGACAATCAGATCAAGTATCATATATATGGAAAGAAACAGAAGAATCCGATGACTGAATAAAAGAATAAGTCTAAGAAAATCTTATCATATTTAGTTCATTGTAGTCTTCTACTGCAATAATAACATTTTTTACTAACAACATCCTTGAGTTCAACACATTTCCTTTCATTATTATTTGTTAACTTGGTTTGAGATAATTCATAACTCGTCAGTGTCAACTTTTTACTTAAACAAACCTGATTGCTTTGATACTTGGTGTATATGTACCTTGCAATCACTTCCCTACCTGGTAGGTACCTGTTTACTGTGCCTTACTGTTTTAAAGGTGTTGTTCACTGGTACAAAGTTTGCAATTATTTCTTACTTTTATTTGTGGTATATTTTTTTGAATTTTGTAACAAAATAATATTACCTCTA